CATTCAACGATATCTCTAAAGATCACAAATCATATCTAGTCATTGAAGACATTACCCTCAAAAATTGAAAAAATTTCCCTTGTTCCCCGTAAATGGGGGAAATCTCCAAAAAAATTACAAATTGAAAAAATGGCTAATTTTTGACATTTTTTACTTAAAACTGTCAAATCTTTTTTAAAAATTACTATGTCAATATAATTTTTTTTTATAGGGACATGAAGTATTTACTTATCATTTGATATATTTTTGTGAACATTTTACCATTTACCTGCCCATAAGGGAGGTTTCAAAATACTTATTCTATTATAAATTAATCGTGTTGTGTCTATAAGTTCTGCCTATAATAAATACTAGTTTTAATCAATATTTGTTTATGTAAAATTTAACATTTTTGTAAATTTATGTTCAAATAAGAGCTTTGATAAATATTTTTTTTATTTTTGTATTGTTTTGTTATTATATAGGTTGCCAAAAGTAGAAAAGTTCATCAAAAATTATATGATTGCTCTGCAGGAGCTGGTGAAAAATGCAAACACATATGTGCATTAATATATTATATTAATAATGAACAGCAAATTTCAAAAACAGATTTACCTCAACAGTAGGGTAAATCATCTAAAACTGGGGAGTTAAAATATAAGAAAGGTAAATCTATTGAAGAATTATTTCCAAATAAAAAACAAAAAACTATTATTGATTCTATAAGTCATGATGATCTTTTTCCAATTATAACATATTAAATATGCTTAAGTAAATTGTTAGGTGAAGAAACAGAAATAGTGTAAAAAAGTTTTAAATCAAACCATTGATCAAGTTTTACAAAATATCACTAACAATTTAAATAAAATAAATTTTTCAATTATACTAGTTAAGCAATTTACCAACAATACTTATTACTCAAAATTTCCACTTACTGTTGAAGAAAATACATTAATTTGATTTAGCTATTAAATTTGTTAATGTTTTAATTTTCTTATATTAAGTTTGTATTGTTAAATACTTTAATATGAAAAATGTAACTTTTTAGATGCTTTATATAAATGTATCAAAGTATGATGACAAGTTGTTATGAAATTAATTATTTACATCATTGACTTTTATAACTTATAATTATTTTCTTTTTTTTTGTAATACTTATATTACTTTATTTTTAAAAAGTAGATGTTATAAGCAATATTATTGTTTGATTATAGGAAACTGTTATTTAGTTAAAGTACAGCAAATATGCATAATATTATCTTCTATATGAGGGAGCTATTCAATTGTATTTTATTTAATATATTGTATGTTTTTAGTCTAGCAAAAAGTTTTCAATGTGTATTCTTACACTTGCTACGGAATGAGTTTCTATAACTTCTTCACCAAATCTACCGTTCTGTAAGATTGGGGGCATAATTAATATGGAGTTGTTGTCATTACAAAATTTGTAATAATTTTAATACCAGGAAAGTCTTGGGCAGCTAAAATTTTGTCTCCCGGTTCTAGCTTAGAAAGAAATCCACAGTCATTAATAATAAAAGTATCACTTGAACGTCCTCCATAACATTTTGAAAGAAAACTTATGGCACCATTTGGTGTTATTCTAATAAGACATTTAACACTGTACGTACTCTTACACCTGGAGTACAAACAAACTCTTTGTTCAACTGTAAGGGGCTGTTGTACTTTAATATCTGTATAATCTATGATACGACAGTCTGGATAGTTTTTTTTAAAAGCATAAGGGAGAGTTTTTAAAATTGTTTCTTTATTATGTCAAATAATAAAATGTTTGGTGTTTTGTTATAATATAGAAAACAAATTAAAAAAAATTCTGCTGGCAGTGATACGATGGATATTAAATAAAACTTCAAGAATTGAAAAAATGATACAAAATAATAACTTCATTATAAATAAATTAACTTTATCATTATTATTTAAGTTACTATTAATACTCATACTTGAGAATATATTAACTAACATTTTAAACACAGTATGAGAAGTTTGTTAAATCTTTTAATGAACTTTCATTTATTATAGATGCATGACGATGAAATTTCTCATAAGAATGAATTAAAATTCTCTGAGCAAAGACCACCAGATTTATCTTTAACATTTGTTTTCTGGTTCAGCATAAATTGAAGGGGGGTTGTTAAAGAAGTACTAACAAAATTTTATTAAAAAAAGAAATCTCAAATGAAAAATCTTGAACCTCTTCTACATCAAATGAAACTTGTACCCCAACATGACATTTAGTTAGTGGGTTACCATGATGCACAGTATCATTGAATTTATTTTGAATACGATTTAAAATAAGTTCATTTGAGAAAACAGAAGATTGTGGAATATTATCACGGTTGCAAAAAATGCTTGTATCTTGAGCTCTTTTGAGTGTCATTATTATTTTTTTTATATGGTGTCGAAAATATACTAGGAATAAAAGCAGAACTATTTAGATGTCTTGTTCGCCTGTTTCCAACAAAATTATTATTACATACAACTGCATTGACTGTTGGTATCCACGGTTTTCCATCATATTTTTTGTAAAAATAGGAACTAATTAGTATAATTATAGATATTATAAAAATTATAATTTAAAATAAAGAATGTTCACTTAAATGTTAGTAATGCTACAACCAACAACGCAACATACTTTTTGACCGCATTTCTTTTTCATGTCACCCATTTTAAATATGAGTTGCATTATCAAAGAAATTGGAGGAGTAGATTTATTCAAAACCTAACTTGAAGATGTAAACAAGAGTCATTGTATTATCAACAACAACATTTAAAAATTTTTTTATCATATATTTTGGCGTAACGTGATGTTCAAAATCGTTTTTACTTTTAATTTAGTTATATTCTGAAAGTCCAAATACATTTTAACCAATTATATTTAATGAATTATAGTGTATTTAAAACGATAGTGCAGTCAGAATTAACTTAAAATGTAAAATGTATGAAATGCAATATTATTTATTCATACACTTGGATCTTGTTCACACAATTATTGCTACGAACTTATTCTTCAATTTTCCACTACGGCGCGCTGTTATTCATAATGTACACGTGTCTACAGTATTTGTATTACAATAACAATTATAATATTCACGTTTACATTAAATTTTTTTGGAGCTCATATCAAATAATTACAATTGGTTAAATATTTATGTATTTACAGTGACTACCGAGAAGTGTCAATATAAATTGAAATAACTATAAACTTGACATTTTAGCTTCAACGCCCCTATTTATTGTTAAAACAACATCAAGATTTCTTTGAGTGTATAATAAATAAATTTAAATAATTTATGACATTTTATAAAATACTTAATTTCTTATCATTATACTGGATTTTAAAGGCTTTTTAATGAAGGATTACTCTAAAATTATTATAATTTTTCGAAAAGGGGTTAATAAATTTATATATTGTAATATATGTCATTATTTTCAGTGTTGAGAAGGAACTAGTTCCAAAAGGAACGGATTCCTGGAACGAGTTCTTTTTGAAGGAACGATGCTAGGAACTGCTTCCTTTTAAAATAAAGGAACGAGGAAAATGAACAAATTCCATTTTTTAAGGAACGTGAACGGAAATTACAGTTCCTAAAATTTTTTATAAACATGTTTTAGTGTAGTTTTCTTCGTATCTAGACATTAAAATATTATGGTATTTTTAGTTGACTTTTGACAATGGAAGTCCCCTATATACCCAGCCGAGATCGTAGGCTGTTTAAATGAATCAATTGATTATAGATAGAGTTATTATCACATGTAGGTATACAGTAAATATTTAATATATGTGTACATATATTAAATAATGCACCGAATATTATCGTCGTTTCTTGTTAACTAATTTATGTTAAAGGTTTTGGGTTTTCTGATTTATTATTTCTAACTTATATGTAGACAATAGACATTGGTCGCGTTGACACAAGTCGTTAGCATTTACTACCTGCTTATAAATATAATTTTCGAATACTTTTAGATAAGGAATACTACAAATTTGTTTTGTATTCGACTGCTGATGAAAATCATTGATGACCGTTATCATGATCTCATTGCCACAATTTTTTAAATAACTTATAAAAGGAACGAAGAGTGGAACGAGTTCTTATTTTGGAGGAACTGGATCTGGAACAAGTTCCTTCTTAATATAAAGAATTAGGATCTGGAACGAGTTCATATTTTAGAAAATGAACGGGGAACGGAACGAATTCCATTTAAAAAGGAACTTTCCCAACACTGATTATTTTGTAAAACTGAAAACAAAGCATTTTTGTAATGTTTGGTTTAACTATGAATTTATTGATCTATTATTACAAAAATATAATATAGTCTATTATTTGTAAACCTAGAAGTAGAACACTTTTGTAATGTTTAGATTAATTGTAATTTCCCGAATTATTGTTACTAGATCAGGAAGTAAATATTTATAAACATTTTTGAAAATGATTACTATATGAATTTTATAAAAAGAAAAACAAAATATGTTAGTATATAAGACGAAATGGAATGAATTGAAAAGAGAAGATCTCGGGAGTACCGAAGGTAATCTCTTTCCGTGTGATACGTTTGTGACAATAAGTTTTCATTTTGTGTATTATTTATTTATCCTGTTTTAAGTGTACCAATATTTTATATGTTTTACTTTGTTTGATTATATCTTTATTAACTACATTTTGTGTTTTTATTGAACTACTATAACTATAAGTTAGAACAAAAAGATTATTCCATATTTTTAATACAACAATATCAAGAGTCTGACGGCGAAGTGTCTAGGTCCGACTTAATTTATATTATTATGACATAATTACGTCAGTAAAAGTACACCACGATGAGATGTTTTTATTTTATTCGATATTTTGTTTCAAGTATAATTAAATATAATACTAATTTAATACAATATATAAAATAGGAATGCGCTCTCTAGTGGTTGATGGTTTCAATATTCAGACGATTACCATTGTTTGTAACTGATTAGAAATTGCTACCAAGTGTGGCTAANTACTATTATTTGTAACTGATTAGAAATTGCTACCAAGTGTGGCTAACTTCATAGTTTAAAAAAAAATTCCACTATCTTAGGCGTTTGTAAAACTTCACATAAATACTGTAATATCATAAAGTCGGGAGGAGTTATAAATTTAAGTAAGTTTATTTTTCACAGTTATTATTAATTATAATTATTAAGCTTAATATTAAAACGTATAAGCTTATAATTGAATTATGGAATGAAATATTATTAGTTGAATCTGAATTATACTTCATCTAAAAGGGAAGACAAATAGTACTCTTACATTTAATGCAATAAACCGTTTTAATTATTGTAACTTATCAAGTTATATAGTGAATAACACAATACTAAGACAAGAAATAGAATCGTTTTTTTTATTTTCATTGTTTCACTATTTTACTTTTGCCTTCTCTATTGTTCTTTTAATATTCACTCATTTCAATTATTTAATGTTACTAATTAATAACCAAAATGTTATTAAAAGAAAGAATTAAATTTCACAAATAAAAGATTTAGTTTATTTTTAATTATTATTATCTTCAAGTTAATAGCTATATATATATATTGATTTATTCTACAGTTATAACTTTCAAAGAAACATTTCTGATACAAATCCATTTATACAGGATGCTCCCGCTTATCTGATTAATTGTATAACTATTGATTGACTGAATATATATTTTTATAATAAAAAAACAAAATAGCTATTTAATAGAGTAGATAATTAAAAATAATTTATAATATTTACATTAAACACATTATTAAAGAGCCATTTTGTTATAATATATCACACAAAAATACTTATATAGTTTAATTGTACTTGAAAATTTATATTGTACATAATCAACAACAAATTTTTGTCTAATAGTTATTTATCAATTTTATACAAAAGAATTATTGATGTTCATTCAAGTGATGGTAATTTTTATGAAAAAATATACCATTATTTATTTTATTAATACTGTTATATTATAAACTATTAAAAAACTAGACCAAAATTTCTAGGAGTGCTAAAAAGAGGTATGTCTTCAGATCCTAGAGTACTTTGCCTATCACATACCCACATTAGTATTGCTACCATAGACATTTTCAATGAAAACAAAAATTACAATCATGCAATGTAATGCAATCATTAACTGCATCTCTATACATATATAAATATGTTTGGATGTCTATGATTATCCTTTTTATCTAAATTATTCTAAAATTATTATTTTAAAATAATGAAATATAAAAAAATTGCAGTACATATATTATTATATTTTATTTTAATAGCTTATGATTAATTATTTGTTACGTAAAAAAAATCCTAATAATATGTATAATTAATTTATATATTTATATTTTTTTTGTTATTAAAAACTTGCAGTTGAATAAAGTTAAAGATTAAAAATGACTGGACGAGCATTACATTTTGTTTTTAAAGTAGCTGACAGAACAAAAACCATCAAATTTTACAAAGAAGTTTTAGGAATGAGTGTAAATGAAAATATGTATTTCTAATTTAAATTTTATTTATTTATTCATCTTAATAATATTAATTTGAATGTTAGATTTTAAGACATGAAGAATTTACTCAAGGTTGTGAAGCTGCTTGCAATGGGTAATTTTAATAAAAATCTATTTTACTTCAAAAAATTAATTAAAATCTTTTATTTTATTATCTGAAATCATATTACACATTTTTACTACCTGTGTTATTTTTTTTTTTGTTTAGTCTGTTTTTAACTTATTAATTATTTTAATATTACATATGAATTAAGTGTTAAAAAAACAAATTATTATATATTAAAAAAATTATTTTAATTAAATTAAATGATAGACTGAGAATTTTTTTTTAGTTAACAAACAAATATTTATATTTTTCTAAAGAAAAATTATGTGATGTTTAGTTTTCTATTTTATAAATTAAAAATTATTTTGTAATATATTATAAATTAATTATAATATTACTCATATAAGGCCCTATGACAATCGATGGAGCAAAACAATGGTGGGATATGGACCTGAAAATAATCATTTTGTCATTGAGCTGACTTATAATTATAGTGTAGAAAACTATAAGTTAGGGAATGATTTTCTTGGTATTACTTTAAAATCATCAGCTGTTTTAGAAAATGCCAAGAATCTTGACTGGCCAATAGGTTTTGAAGAAAATGTGCCCTATGTTACTGCACCTGGAGGCTATAAATTTTATGTGCTTGATGAACCACAACCTCTTGATAAAGGTATAACTAATGCTAATGTATTATAATAGGGATCAACAATTAGTTTTTAAAGTGGGGCGAATTGTTAAAAAAAAAAGTTTGAGAGCCATAAAATATAAATTATGTATTATAGTTAATATATTATGTATGTTATATATGCAATACATTACATGTAATAAAGAAACAATAACATATTAGCGGTACATTAATTTTCTATTAGAAGGTTAAAGTCAGCCCATATATTGATCTCTGTATTTTAATTAAGCAATAGTGTTTTTTAAATAACAAAAATAATATTAATAAATATTTATTTAAAATTTTGAAAAAATAATTTAAACTTAAATCTACATTAATTTTTTAGCTATACATTAAACTTATCTCAATTTTCTACCAATATATAGTTTTATTATTATAAGTTTTTATTGTATTACTATTTAAGTAAAAGTTGTTATGTAAATTATTTTTGCAATTCAGATCCTATTGTAAATATCATATTATCATCTACAAATCTCCAAAAATCAGTTAAATTTTGGAATGAAATTTTGGGCTTAAACATATTCAATCAATCATCTAGTTATGCAGAATTAGGATTTGGTGATGAACAAGCCAAGCTTCAGCTTAAAGCTATAAGTAATTTTTTAACTATATAAAATATTATTCCTTTTAATATTTATATTTATAAAGATTTTTAATGTTTTAGGGCTAGGGGAGGGCGGGAGTAATTATAAATGTATATTCTTAGATAAATTTAGATAATTTCTTATTTCGATCTTATATCTAATGTGATAGCAATACATATGGACCATAACTTTTCAATCTAAAATATAATCTATTAAATAATCTAAGAAAAAAATGTGTTTACATTTATCCTACTACAACTCGTCAACTTATTATTATTAAGTAAAACTTCTTTACAGAGGGTCCAAAGAAAAAAAAAAATTATTATGCATCACGTTCGGCTGTCATGGACGGACATTATTGTTTCATTAAGTATTATACCATCAAAATTCTATTGTTCTGTGAATTTAAATGTTTGTCTAACGGATTTTTGTTCTATTAAGTATACGGTTAAAATTTTATTATTCTATGAACGTATAAGTTCTATAAATATGTACGTTTGATAAATGTGTGCGTTTAATAAACGTTTACTTTTCACAATTGTTTGCAATTTATTGTAATAATATAAAAACATTGTTAAGTAATTTTTTGGGGATATTTTTTCAATGTTTCATTTTATTATAAAATATAAATAAAAATAAATATTATTTATATAAACTTTCATTAATAATAATAGTAAGGAATAAATTATATTTATATTATAATTTTGCATATTAAAGTAATGTATGTTATTTAAAATGCATTAAATAATTTAATTTTTAATGTGTATAAAAAACTGAAAAGAAAACCACAATAAATGTAGTTTTTAAACAATATCTTCAAAATGTCCGGTAAAAAATGTACATTAGTTATCCTAACACCAGTATATCTTGTGAAAATAGAATAAGAATATTAAAAAAAAATGTAATTAATTTCAATTGAAAATAAAATTTTTATGTGTATGTTTTTAATATATATAATATATTCCAATATAAACCTAATATTCTATTAGTTGAATGACTCTGAAAGAAGTTTTACTTTATCCATGTGGACTCATAATAAGCACTGGTTTTTTTAATATAATTATTCTTTTCCCATGTACAATTTTTATTGATTTTAATTTTATTTTGATATTAGAAGAACCAATTAATCACGAAACAGCATATGGAAGAATAGCGTTTTCTGTTCTAACAACAGATTTAAAACGATATCAAGAAAATGCTCAAAATAATCAGTATAAAATTCTAACACCTTTTGTTACTTTAGATACTCCAGGGAAAGCTTCAGTTTCAGTTGTAATTTTTGCTGATCCTGTAAGTTAAATAGAATTATAGCAATGAAATAAGTATGCTTGAAAATTTAATTAAAATATAACATTTAATAATTTTAGGATGACCATGAAATTTGTTTTGTTGGAGATAAAGAATTCAGGGAGTTATCTCAATTTGATCCAGAAGCAGAAAAATGTTTGAATAAATATATTGCTAAAGATGAAGCACGGAAATTAAACAAATAAAACAATCTGCCATTCCAGTAAATAATTAAAAATAAAACTCAAAAGTATACAATTAACTCAACATGAGATAAATTTGTAATTAGATTGAAGTATAAAAAATGATAAGAGAGAAAACTTATTATGTGCAATATTTTTTAGATTCTTGTTTTTATTTATCTTATTCTAATAGATTTTTTGTTTTTTATGTGTACTTATGTATCAAAAAAAAAAAATATTAATTTTGTTATGTGTTTTGATTTTACATAAATATATTTAGTATGTTAAAAGTTAAGCTATTTAGTGGTTGGGTATTACTACGTAAACAAATGTTAAAAATAAAATCATTATTATTTGAAGTATAATATAAGTAATATGATAAAAATTGAATTATTTTTTTATATAATTTATTTTTATGATTAAACTTTGTTAATGTAGGTAACTGTTGACCATTTTTTAATACATTAATTAAAAAAAAAAGTTATTAAGAATTATTTCTATATAATAAGTAGTTTTTTATAAAATATTTGTTTAGTTTGTGCTACATTATCATTAGTTGTGCTCATAACTTATTAAAGTTTTAGCATGTTTCAATTAATAGTATAAGAATTCATGCTGGTAGAATAGACAGAAAAACACTAACATTAATTTTATATTTATATATATATATAGATCTATACTTATAGTTTTAATTATGTTATTTTATAAATGCCATATTAGGTTCCAATAAAGTTGAAAAACTTACACTAAATATTCTAATATAATAATAACTAAATATTAAAAGTTGTAGTAAAAATCTGAGGAAGTATTCAATAACGTCGATTTTAGTATAATATAAATTGTACAACAGTAGTAAGCAATTTTTGAATTCTAAATAAAGTAATAAAGTAATAAAGTAATATAATAATGTCATATAAACGGAAAATGCAGGGTTAGCAAATTAATAATGATGGGAAAAAGAATATATAATGGGAAACATGAAAAGTATAGGAGGATTGACGTTTTGACGAAGAAACGTCGAGTTACGGGTCAGGACGTTTGGTGCGAGTAACTGTATTTTGGACGTTTTAATTTATTTTGTGTAACATTTTTAAATTACATTTTGACTTTGTGTTTATTAAATTTCTTAAATGAAATAGCTATTTAAAAACCTGCACTTAGCGTAAATATTTTGTAACCACCGTGCTGTTAAAATAAGTAAAAAAATTTAACACTAAGTAAAGTTAAATAAAAAATCATAATCTATAAGAGATTAATAAATTGGTACACACATAGTTAACAATATCACATATTACAATTGAGTAATTATATATAGGTAGGAAGCTGATAATATTATATTTGCATAAAAACAAATACTATAAGTTATAATATAAAATTACTTATATAATTTTACTATTTTTGTTTTTTTAATCAGTAATTATTAAAGTTCATTAATAATATTTAATTTTATTGCAAGTAACATGGAAAAAGTCTAATCCAATTTCATTGCTAAGTATTAAAATCCTTTCAGGTGAATCCCCTCCTATGAGCAGGTAAAGGGTCAAATTTATAAAAAATATACAAAATTAAAGATAAATACCTCATGACCCTATAAAACAAAACTATGTTAATATGGTAAATTTTAAAAAAGATATGACAGTTTTAAGTAAAATAAATTGTAAAAATGTCGAAAATTATCGATTTTTTTAATTGTAATTTTTTTGGAGATTTCTCCCTTTTACAGGGAACAAGGGAAATTTTTTCAATTTTTGAGGGTAATGTCTACGACTAGATACGATTTGTGATCTTTTGAGATATCGCTGAAAGAAATCGGTTCTGTGAAAGCTGAGAAAAAGTGGTAATAGACAAAAAAAAAACAATAAAATTAATACCTTCGCATCGAAGCTAAAATACGATTTTTTGAAAAAAATTTTTTTTATTTTTAACTTTATAATGCTATAACTTTTTGAAAAATGTACGGATCATTACAATTTTTTTATGATATGTACTATTTGTATACTTCTTTTATGCAACATGTTTTTTTTTTAATCGCACCATTCCCTTTATACAAAGGGGTTTAAAACTTAAAAACGCATATAGACAGTAAAACTTTTTCCACTTATTTTTGATTAAAATATATTTATTGATTATTCATACGTTACCTAATAATCAAGCATAAATATTTGTTATATTAATTAGACGGATTTTATTATTATTTAGGCCAAATGCGAAACTTTAATTGCAGATTTGAAATTGACACGAAAATGGGTTTAGGAAAGTATATTTTAGTCTCTGATAAAAATTCCTTGTAGACCAGTAAATTTATTTATAAATAACAAACATATTTTTTTTAAGTATTGCATGAAGAGTATCAACTTTTATATACGTTTGTCATAAAACTACTTTATAATTTGTCCGTAAAAATTACAATACTAAATTATTAAATATCAATTTCATACTATATTTAATTGCTATAATAAATATCTATACATATTAGGATGGTTCAAAAAACACTACTTCAGATATTTGATCACGTCACCCCCCTATTTTTTACTTGGTATAGAAAATATATATGAAAAGTGAGTGACCGAGATGCAATGGATATTATAACAGCTTGTCTGGAAGTTGTGTCGGTAGACATTAATGATTCTCTCCTTAGTCGACCGTCCATTAAGAGAACTCGGAAAAATCATACCAAAATACTTATGAAACTATTAAGTCTAATTTTTATATGCTGATCATGATTTTGTTGTAGTTCATTGGGATTCAAAAATTGTACCTGATATAACAGGAATAGAAAATGTAATACGACTACCAATTGTTACTGTAGCACCTGGAATAGAGCAATTTCTTGTTGTTCCTGATCTTACTTTTTCTATGGGGTTGGAAGTATCATCTACAGTGTATGACACATTACAATAATGGAACTTACTTGATAAAATCCAAGCAATAGTTGTTGATACTACAGCTTCCAATACAGACAGATTAAATAGAGCTTGTGTTTTGTTAGAACAAAAGTTAAACCTGAATCTTATACTATTAGCATGTCGTTATCATATTTTGAAGTCGTACTTCAAGGTGTAATTTCTGAAACTAAATTAACTGTTATGTCTAGTTCAAGCATACTCTTTTTAAACAATTTCAATTAAATTAGTATGATATAGATAAGAGTAGTTATTCTACTAGTATAACAGGTAATATGATACAGTATGATATAGTTTGTGAGGTTTTGTCAATCGCAGAAAGTAAAATCAAACACGATTTACCTGGAGATGACTAGAAATAGTTTTTAGAGCTAATAATAATTATTAAAAGAAAATTTTTAGATAAAACTAAATAGTTTTTATTCTATACATTTTTACGCTAACTATAATATTTATTGAAATAAAAGTGAAAAACTAAAAAACTCTATTTGGTTAAACTTCAACCCCAATACAGCATGGGAAGGGGTTGTTTGATCGTTTTTAGAAGTTTTCTATATCAAGTAAAAAAATAGGGGGTTGACGTGATCAAATATCTAAAAAAATCTTCTATGCGTATGAACCATCCTAATACTGTCGTATAAGGCCAATTGCTTGGCATATACGTATATTGCATTATAATGCAATTGATAATTATCAATAAAAAATGTATAATTTCATAATACTTGTAAACAAACAAATAACTCATCTGTCATAATATGTATATTGTTCAACACAATTTCTTATTATTTATATATATATGTTAATTTATCTATTGTTAAATATGCTATCTAAATATAATAATCATGTAATGTATAATTAGATACAATAAATTAAAAAGATCACTTAAAGCGCTGACAACAATATCCCTGGATTAGGGGTACTATCACACACTATAAAAAGCACTGAAATCCTTTCAGACACCAGTTCGCTTTTGCCGAATTCAAATAAGAAAACAATTGTTAGCCATGACCCCGTGTTGTTTTCGGCTATCTTTTTATGCGTCTTGCTTACATATATACGAAAAGAATTTGTTTTAGCTTATTATTTTGTGACGAGTTACGAATTTGATACCTCTATATATCAGAAAGATTGTCGAATTGTCTTTAATTTACAACCTTTACACCCCTTTTAACATATTTTTATATTTTGTTATTTTAAATTATAACAATACATATATTACACTTATTAATCAAAAAAGTTGTAATCGGGATATAAATAAGGAAGTAGGAGATAATGCTGTTTTTAGAATAATCCACTATTTTTTTAAAATTAAACTATCTACAGATTTTCATCATAGCGTTTTTTATGATGACAATTTTAATCACTGTTAGATGTCATCTATACTAGACTCAACTATGCCACGTCTCCACTGTGCTGTGTTTATCATATTATTTGTGCCGCCTATAAATTTCAAAAGATGCCGCAAAATCTTACCTATACACTACTCCGTAGGATCATTATATGTAGTTTCGTCTGAAATACAATTTTTTATTAAATTAGCAATTGTTCTTTTTTGAATTCCTTTCCTAAATTCAAATAATTCAGTTAAATTTTTGAGGTAGGTTTATCCTCAAATTATCCAAAATGTCTCATCTGAGTTGTTAATTACAACTTGGTGTGATGAACAACCTATTTAAGAGAACAATCATTAGTTTTTATTTATTACCCTTTATTTTATTACCATAAGGATTTCATGTATTTTGCAATAGCTATAAAATTTAACTAAAGAGTTGTGATACCAAATAACTATGGTTGTACTATGATTTAGTTTCACTATGATAGGTATATATTATATAGATTGCGTATTTTATGATTGCAACAGTATACAATCATAATTTGTTCCATTTTTATAAAATAAAATTTGTAGAGGAAATTAATACGTATTAAATTTGATAAAATTTAATTCTATACCTAAAGGTGTATCAAGCAGAAAGGTGAATATATATTTTCGTAGAAATAATAATAATTAAAATCCAATTTTTATTACAACGTTAAAAAAAATAACAAATTTATTACACGTCTTCTGGAAATTTTTAAGAAAATGACATGTCTGGTTTTTGCAGTTAGCTCATTGTAGAATTTTATTGTATTATTTATTAGTTCAGCATACTCTAAAGCATATTTAACATTTAAAAATGTTCAAATTTAAAATTCTACTTTTGTAATAAAATTTATTTTTATCTGTATTAAACAATTTATACACATAAATAAATAAAATAAATGACACTTAGATTTTGAATTATACTATTATTCATTTTTCTCAGATTTCATATAAGTTTTAGAATGTTTTTTAGCTTTGATGCGAAGCTGAGAAGGTATTAATTTTCCTATGATGTGTTTTTTTTTAAGTAAAAATAACAAATAGTGCAAAACAATTATGAATGAAATCTGACGAGAGTTATAATCAAAATAAAAACATCAGGAGTATTTTCACTGCCATTTAACGTT